TAAAAAAAGGGGAATTTTCTCCAAAGATTTTTCCTGGAGGGCTGAAAGAAAAGGAGAGGAATTCTCCAAATCCACCTAAAAAAAAATAAAAATAAAAAAAAAAATAAAATCCCAAATCTCAGCGCGAGGGATGAAATATTCCCAAAGAACATTCCCATTCCCACGTGGAGTTCGAAATAAATATTTCAATAAAAATCCACTTTGCCAGGGGCTGAGGGCTGGGTTTGGGTGGAATTTCGGGAGGATTTGGGATGAATTCCGCGGGAAAATTCCCGATTATCCCGAGAGGTTTTTTTTTTGGTTTGTTTGTTTTTTTTTTTTTATCCCAAATTTCCAACCCCGGGCACGTTTTGTTTGCAGGGAAAGTGGAGCTCCACGGGAAGCAGCTGGAGATCGAACACTCCGTGCCCAAAAAGCAAAGGTAAAAGCCGAGTTTAAATCGATTTTTAATTGATTTCCAGTCCTTATCGTCGGAATTATTAATTCGTGTTGGGAGCGGGGAGGGGGGGAAAAAAAAAAGGGGAAAAATTCCAACCTAAAAATGCAAAATCTCGGAGATTTTTTTTGGGGGGGATTCGTCCCCAGCGAGCTGAGTTTAATTAATTCGTTCATAATTTGGTGGATTAATTGGTTCTTTTTCAAAGAAATCTCGATCCGCGGGGTTTTTAATTTAAGAAAAATAAATAATTCTCCACGTGCTGCCCAAGGTGAGGGATGGGTTGGGATTTCCAAACTTGGGGAAAAAAAAATTTCCCGGCTCCTTTTGGCTCCTGGGCTGGGAAATGAGGGGGAAAAATTCCTTTGTTTGGGGAGAAGGAAAATTTCAAAAAAAAATTCAAAAAAGAATTGATTTTTTTTTTTTAATAAATTTGATTTAAAAAGTGAATTTTATCCGAGGAGAAGAGAATAAAAATCGGCGGGCGGGCAGGGCTGGAATGCCGGCGGGAATTCCTGGGATTTTGGGGTGAAAAGAGGAGATTTTGGGGTTTCCCAGGACCTGCCCCTCCCGCCCAGCCCATCCCTCTCCATCTCCCTGGGCCTTTGTTGTTTCCCGGCCGGAG